AGATTGCAGATCTTTGTGTTTTTGTTTCCATTTGACTCAAGTTATTTTTTGACTTGTTTGATTTCTTTGGTGATCCACTGGTTGTTTTGTGCATATTATTTAGACTCCACAGCTGTGTTTTTCTGCAGCTTTATTTTCTTGTTCTAGTTTTCTAGTCTCATGCCATTGTTGGAAAATATGCTTGATGATTTCAATTTTCTTAAATTTATTGAGGCTTATTTTGTGGCCAGCATGTGATTTATCCTTGGAGAATATTCCATGTGCCCTTGAAAAGTATGTGTGTTTTGTTGTTTTTGGACCAGATGTTCTGTATATTTCTGTTATTTCCATCTGGTTTAATGTGTCATTTAAGGACAGTGTTTCCTTATTGATTTTCTCTCTGGATGATCTGCCCTTTGATGTAAATGTGGTATTTGAAGTCCCCCTACTGTTACTGTGTTACTGTCAAGTTATCCTTTCATATGTATTACTATTTGCATTATATATTTAGGTGTTCCAACACTGGTTGCAAATATATTTATAATTGATACACCTTCTTGTTGGAGTGATCCCTTGATCATTATGTAATGTCCTTTTTTTTTCCTCCTGTTACAGCCTTTGTTTTAAAGTCTATTCACCTAATGCAAGTATTGCTACCCCAGCTTTCTTTTTGTTTCCATTTGGGTGGAATACCTTTTTTATCCCCTCACATTCATTTTTTGTGTGTGTTTAGATCTGAAGTGAGTCTCTTATAGGAAGCATATAGATGGATCTTGTCTTTTTTTAGCCATTCAGCTACTGTGCCTTTTGACTGTAGTATTTCATTCATTTTCATTTAAAATAATGATTGGTAGGTATGTACTTATTGCTGTTTTGTTCATTGTTTTCTGATTGTTTTTGTCATTCTTTTTTGTTCCTTTTTTTCTTTTGTTCTTTTTTGATTTGATGACTATCATTATTGTTATGTTTGGATTCTTTTTTCGTGTGTGTTTGTGTCTTATAGGTTTTTGCTTTATGGTTACCATGATGTCATTTAACAGCATATATGATCATTTATAGTTAATTTTCTCTTAAGTTCAGACTTATCTAACAACTCTGCATTTATCACCCCTTATGTTTAATGTTTTTAATATTATATTTTACATCTTTTTTGTGTATATCGCTTAACTGTTTAATGTGAATATAGATGATTTTACTACTTTTGTCTTTTAACCTTCCTAGTAGTCTTATAGTGGTTGATCTTTACTGTATCTTTGCCTTTACCAATGAGATTTTTACTTACATAATTTTCATATTTCTAGTTTTGGTCTTGTCTTTTCTACTTAGGGAAATTCTTTTTAAGATTTCTTGGAGAGCTGCTTTAGTGGTACTGAACTCTTAGCTTTTCCTTCTCTGTAAAACTCTCTCCTTCAAAGTTAGTGATACCCTTGTCAGGTATTCTTGGTTGTATGGTTTGTCCTTTCAGCCCTTTCATTACTATATTGTGGAACTCCCTTCTGGCCTGCAGGTTCTGCTGAAAGACTTTGGGAATTACCTTGTATGTAACTAGTTGCTTTTCTCTTGCCATTTTTAAGATTCTCTATCTTTAATTTTTACCATTTTAGTTACAGTGTGGCTTGGTGTGGATCTCTTTTGGTTCATCTTATTTCGGTCTCTGCTTCCTGGACCTGGACATCCATTTCCTTTCCCAGGTAGTGGAAGTTTTCAGCCATTATTTCTTCCAATAAATTCTCTAACCCTATCTCTCTTCTCCTTATGAGACTCCTGTAATGTGAATGTTAGTACTCTTCGTATTGTCCCAGAAGTCTCTTTAAAACTATCCTCATTTCTTAAATTCTTCTTTTCCTGTTCAGCTTGAGTGATTTCCACTATTCTGTCTTTCAATTCATTGATCCATTTCTCTTTATCATGTCATCTGCTCGATTCTGTCTAGTGTTTTTCTCTTTTTTTAAAATTTCATTTATTGTATTATTCAGCTCTGTTTGGTTCCTCCTTATGTTTTGTAACTCTTTATTAAACTTCTCACTGTGTTCATCCATTCTTCTCCCAAGTTCATTGAGCATTATTATGGTCATTACCTTGAAGTCTTTATTGGGTAGGTTGCTCTCCTTTACTTCGTTTAGTTCTTCTAAGGTGTTGTCTTGTTCCTTCATTAGGAACATATTCCTCTGTCTCCTCATTTTCCCCAGTTCTCTGTGTTTATTTCTATATAGTAAGTAGATCAGTTGTTTCCTGATCTTGGAGAAGTGGCCTTGTATAGGAGCCATCCTATGGGGCCCATCAGCTTACTCCACTCAAGTCACCAGAGGTATATGTCCTACTGGTACCCCATGTGTGTGCTGTGTGGGTCCTTCTGTTGTGGTGGAGCCAACTACTATGGGCACACTGATAGGCAGCACTGACCCCAACCCAGCTGGCTGCCAGGCCCTGCATTGTGTGGTGGCTGCTGGCTCTGTGTTGGGCAGAGCTGGGTCCTGGCATGGCTGGTTGCCCAGCCTGAGTAGTCCCAGCGCTGGTGCTGGCCTGCTAGTGGGACAGGACCAGAAGCCAGGGTGGCAATCTGCAAGGCTTGGGGGAACCTAGGGCTGGTACCCCACCATTGGTGGGTGGGGTTGTATCCCAGGGCAGCTTGGTGCATATACCTGTGGGTTTGTTATTTTTATCTTTGTTTCACTATATGTAACATGCCTTTTTTTCTTTTTTATAGTTACTTTTAAAATTTTCTCTGTCTTAGGTTTTGAGCAATTTGGTTTGATGTGCTTTGATGTAATTTTCTTTATTTCTTATACTTGGGGTTCATTGAGTTCTTAGATCTGTGGGTTCATAGTTCCCATAAAATTTGTAAATTTTAGAGGCATTATTTCTTCAAATATTCTTTTCTTCTCTTTCCTCTTTTTTTCTGGGACTCCAGTTGCACTTCTGTATGTCACTTGAAGTTGTCCCATAGCTCATTCATGCTCTGCTCTTTGCTTGTTTGTTTTACACTCTTTTTTTTTTGATGTATCTATTGCTATGCCTTCACCAGTCTTTTTACCTGCCATATTAAATTTGCCATCAATCCTATTTGATTTATTTTGTTGTCTCACATTTTAGTTTTCATCTCTGTAAGTTTTATTTGTGTCTTTTTTATATCTTCTCTGTCTCTACTTAACTTTTGAGTATATGTGTCAGTTGTCGGTCAATTTTGATTGATTGATTTTTCCTTTTCATTATGCATTGTATTTTCCTTCTCCTTAGTATGCCTGGTAATTTTTGATAAAAAGCTTGACATAGTGAATTTTACCCTGGTGAGTGCTGGATGCTTTTGTATTCCTATTCTTGAGCTTTTTTTCTGGGCCACAATTAAGTTAGGGGAAACAATTTGTTACTTTTGGGTCTTCCTTTTAAGATTTTTTAGACAGGAGCAAAACTGTTTAATCTAGGGATACTCATTACTCAGGCAGGTTTCTTTCAATTCCTCCACCAAATACTCTGTGAATATAATGTTTTCCAGTATAGCTGATGGGAACAGGCAGTATTCTTCACCCCATGAACTCCGATTTCCCTCTAATCCTTTCATATGGTTCATTCTTCCCGTGACCTTTGTTATTTTTTTCACCATATAGTGGTTTGTCAGTGATCTGCTGAGCACTTGAAGGAGACCCCATACAGATCTCTGTAGTTCTCTCTCTGCTCCTCACACATCTTTGTTAGTTTTTCCTGCTAACTCTGTCTGCCTTGGTCTCCCCTGACTCTCAGTTCTGTCTCCTTAACTCAAGAAATCTGCCTGGGTTTTCTTTACCTGTGCAGCATCCTGAAAACTCTCTTAAGGTTCTAGGCTGGGGCAATCATAGGACTTACTTGATTTGTTTCCTATCTTTTAGGGATTACTTTCCTTCATTGCCTAATATCTGCTCTCTTGAAAACTCTTGTTTTCTATATTTTATTTTATCTTTTCCTTTGGAGGGGCTTGATTTCAAACAAGTGAGTGAATCCAGTCCCTGGTTTTACATTTTAGCCAGAGACAGAAATCCTTGGACTGTTGAACTTTTATCACTTTTATGATTATCATTTATGTCTGTTTTATTGAAGTAATTCACTGTTATATTCTTTTAAATTTTTAAATTTGTTTCTATGCATATGTTCTTTTTCCAATAGACTTTTTAGATTTGTTGTTCTACTCTTCTACATAGTTTCAACCAGTTACACTATTCTTCAAATTCTGATGTTGCTATGTAGAGTCTTTAGTTTCTCACTGCTTCTGCTATTGATAAAAAGTTCACAAATGATATATTTCTATTTTAGAAGATGCTTGTTAAGGAAAGTTTAATTTTCCTTTCTATAAAAGATGCTTGGTAGAGATAGTTTATTTAAAATTGTTACATCATTTAATAGATTTAAAGTTGTGTTTTACTATGAAGTTATATTACATTTACAAGTTTTTATTACAACATAGAGAAAATAAGCATATTCACATTTACTCTGATGAAAAACTTACAGTGTTCTGACCACTGCTATGCTAACCATCAGCTGCTAATCTTGGACTTATGTTTTGCATTCTTTAGTATTTTATACAGTAAACCACCAGTTACTGAGTATATTAACAACATGAGACCCCCCCATGTTGTATCTATATACAGATACTCTTATAATTTGGGATCCAGATTACCAGCAAAGATCAGTAATTACTTTCTCCTCTTGACAATTTAGCACATTCCAGTGTAACTCCTGCTACTTTACATTTCCCTCCTCTCTCACTAACCACTTACCAGTCCACAGATTTGGTATCCCTGACTTTAGAATGATAAGTAAGAATTTATCTATTGTACTTATATATAGAGAAATCTGTTTCAAGATTCTCTTTTAACAGTTAACTGCAGTGTATAGGTTTTGTTTTCCCTAATGGTAGGTCATATAAAACAGATTGCAAAGATATTGATGCTTTCATATTTTCAGAAAACGTGAAATGGTATATTTTACTAAACCTTTCATGTTATGTAGTTTCATATATGTATATATATATTTTTTTCATTTTAATTTAGGACTTGCTTTCTCATATGCTACATATGGACCCACATCAGCGGTACACTACAGAACAAGTATTAAAACACTCGTGGATAACCCACAGAGATCAATTGCCAAATGATCAGCCAAATAGAAATGATACATCACATGTTGTTAAGGTAAAACAAACATACTTTTATGCACCTTCTAAATACTCGATACCTAATAAAGCCATTGCATGCCGTTCACTGATGACACATATAATTACCTTAAAATATCTTTATTTTTTAAAGGTATCTTAATAGATTTTTTGTTTTGGTTTGTTTTTTTAAATAACAACCATGGAATCCTCTTAACCTTCTTTACCTACTGCCTTACTAATGATAAAGAAAAATTTCTTGATTGTATTTGACTTGCTTTTAAAAGACACTGGGACTTGAAGCAGTCTAAGTGCAAGTTTCATATAGAAACAAAAGATTACTGTTGGTTCCTATGTATTTGGTGAAAGTTTCCATATGTATAGACATTGAACTTAGATTTTATTTATTTTGTATTTTTCATTGAAGTATAATCAGTTTACAATTTTGTATTAATTTTTGGTGTACAGCATAGTGATTCAGATATATATATATATATATATATATATATATATATATATATATATATATTCCTTTTCATATTCTTTTTTATTATAGGCTATTACAAGATATTGAATATAGTTCCCTGTACTGTACCCTAGGACCTTGTCATTTATCTGTTTTATATATAGTAGTGTGTATCTGCAAATCCCAAACTCCCAATTTATCCCTCCAGCACCCACATTCCCCACTGGTAACCATAAGTTTGTTTTCAAACCTAGATTTTAAATTTTAGTGTTTTATACATTTATCTGTTGATGGACTAAGGTGTTTCCATATCTTGGCTATTGTGAATAACGCTGCAATGAACATGGGAGTGCAAATATCTCTGAGGATAAAGTAATTGTGGTGTGTATGTGTGTGTACGTATATATATATATATATATGGAATCCTATATGTATAATGTACATATATATGAAATATATATAATAGAATATTATTCAGCTTTTTAAAAGGAGGAGATCCTGCCATTTGCAACAACACAGATGAGCCCATAAGACATTATGCTAAGTGAGATAATCTAGACACAGAAAGAAAAAAAACCACATTATCTCTCTTATATATGAAATCTAAAGAAATCAAATGTGTAGCAGAGAGTAGCACAGTGGTTACTAGGAGCAGGGAGGATGGGAAAATGGGGAGATGTTGGTCAAGGCATAGAAAGTTATATTTATGTAGGATGAATAAGTCTAGAGAGTCTAATGTGAAGCCTGATGACTATAGTTAATAACACTATATTGAATACTGAAAATTTGCTAAGAGTAGATTTTAGGTGTTCTCATCACACACAAAAGTGAGAAGTATGTGTGAGGACAAATTGTTAATTAGCTTGACTGTAGTAATCATTTTACTATGTATATCAAAATAACATGTTGTATGACTTAAATATATACAATTCCTATTAAAAATTAAAATTAAAAATAGTTAAAAGCAAAGTAGATGAGTTATGAAAGACTGATAAAAATAATAATTTTAGTGTTTAAAAATTTGTGAGAAACATAATTATTGAAATAAAAATATACTAGTAATCAGGTGTTAATTAATCAAGGGAGCATCAATACACAGATAAGGATTCTCAGTTATTTTCCTGGGGGGAAAAAGTTGCATTCTGGTTAAACCTCTTGTGATATTCTGTGGAAGTTTTTTTTTTTTTTAACCTCCAGAGATTGTTATTCAATTTGTGATATTTCTCATTGTTTTAGGGAGCAGTGGTTGCCACATACTCTGCTCTGACTTGCAAGACCTTTCAACCAGTCCTAGAGCCTGTTGCTGCTTCAAGCTTAGCTCAGCGACGGAGCATGAAAAAACGAACATCAACTGGCCTGTAAGATTTTCAGTGTTCTTCAGGCAAACTGGATGAAGAGAAAATTAAATGTGTAGCTTTTTGTCTAATCTTATATCAAAGGCATTGTTTTGTGCTACATTACTTGAATATTCTGTTTAAGCTTCCTTTTTTTAGGGGGAGTGAGGTAAAAAACATATGCAGGTCCACAATATTCATACTATGTTGTTTTTCAGCAGTGTCCACTTGTTTATTTAAGTATATAATTGGTGTCTACAAGGTCCTAACAATTCTTCTGCACACTAACTTCTTCCTTTCAAATAAAGTTACTTTAATAGTTTTTCTGGTTTTGTAAAATAATGGTTTGCGGAATCATTACCAAGAATCAAGATGCAAATGTAATAGTATAATTCCAAGCAGTGTCGGTATTTTTTAACATTAGATTCTGAAAGGATAGATTTTTTTAATAAGAAAAACAAAAATGTGTTGTAGAAGCTTGTTATTGTGTACAACCAAAGTTCTCCATTCATTTGACTCTGTAATTACTAAAATGTAAACAGTAGTTTGGTGCCACAGCAAAAATCATTTGTGCTAATATGTGAACTCCTGTTATGGTTGGTGCCAAAGTTTTACAGAAGAATTAAATCACAGATAATGTGTTCATACAAACCTATATATTATCCATAAGTGGCCTCATCTAGAAATAAAGGTTTCCATAAGGCTTCTGTAAATGTTACATCTAATGGAATTGTAGTACAAGTGAAGAATTTTTTAGCCAAAGGCTTTATATTAGTGTTGTAATCTACTAAATAGGTCATAGTTAAGCCTTTGAAAATAAAGTACATGGTGTTGGCACTTCCTTGGCGTTATGTAAGCTGACTTTCAAGTTAACCAATTGGATTTAATCATCATCTGTCCCGTTTATAATGAACTACACTGTTGTTTTTTAGACTTCATGTGCTTTGAATTACAGTGTAGCATATTAATCTAATTTGAATCCTTTGGTCATATAGTTGAAATTTTACTGTAGTGGACTTGTGGGCTTAGCACACATAATATAATTGTAACACATTTCGGTTAACTTTGGACAATGATACATAATAGTAATACTTCCATAAGATAAAGTGTCCTTTTAAATAGGCGGTAATATTAATGATCTACATAAAATTTGAACACATTTTAAAATCTTATTCATTGAAAAAAAGATCTGGCCAAATTGGTCCTATTATTAAATTTTATGATTCAGAACCACTGCATAGTATGTATTGTTTTATCTAAATTATGGAATTTTTGGGAATCTTTTTGTGTTATTGAAGAAAATACCATTACTACTAACTACTACTGCTGCTGCTACTGCTACTGCTACTGACAGAAAGAATTCATGAATGTAAACTGGAGGATATTACACTTTTGTTTAGTGAATATAAGCGATCTACTTGTGTGTGCTTTATACACTGTTGTGTATTTTATTTTGCTTAATTCAGAGAGAGAGGTGATTAGTGAGTGCTGAAGTATACAGTTTAGGGAAAGAGACTTGTAACTTGCATATATAATAAAAGAAACTATACATAATTCTCTTTATAATGTAAGTGATATATATTCCATGCACAAAGATCTGTTTCTTGTGTGTGATGTATAAAAGTATGTATCCTTATTTTGAGGTGTCTTTTTGCAATAAGTGAAAGACATTAAAAACATCTAATGTTACATGGAAAACATTACTTAGAAGTGTAACTGGGATCATAACTTCTGGATTTTTATGCCCCAGTCTGGCTTTTTATTTTCTCATTTTGCTTTATTACTAGAAGTACTTGCATGTGACAATTTATGTCCTTACATTCTGACTTATTCCCATCTTGTCATTATCTTGTTTGTGCTGTTATGTCTTCTTATCAGAATTGGTATGACAAAGTCAGAGGTATGATTTTGGTCTTCAGCTTTTCAGAACAAAGATACTATTTCCATCTATGCTTTTGTATTAATAGAATTAGAGTAAGTGCAGTTGGAAAATGAAAAATGATCACAAAATAACTTTCAGTTTTTCCATAATCAGTAGTTTTTAAAAGTAGATGATCTTAATTTCTCAATGATTTTTCTTTGAAAGGTTATGTCATACAGTCCTTTCATGAAAGGAACATTATCAGAACTAAGTAATGAACAGCATGATTCTGTATCACTCAAGTGAGGATTGACAATGTGGAAAAGACACATATATGCTAGTGGATTTTCCCAATAATTGTGTGAGAGTTTTCTTCTGGAAAATTCAAATATGGTAGCTTAACAACAGTAATAGGGGGCAACCTATTATAAGGGAAAGCTTGATATTACACCTTCATTCTGTAGAACGAACCCAGGTACAGATGCCTAATCATGTCCATTTTGGCTGAAACTAATTTAGAACAACAAATCAGAAATGAATGAGACAATTTTTGATGGGGGTTCTATAAATGCCTAACCAGTAAAAACAAATCCTTTCTATGAGACTTTACAATACTGTAGTTTCTGATGGATTTGTGAACACTTATTTTGCATTGTTTTTCTTTTTAATTGATGGTTCTTGGTAGTATTTAATGATAGCACAGTTTGGGGTTATTATTGTTCTGGAGAGGAGAGGATATTGTATCTTTTTTCCTCAAAGGGAAAACACCAGGTTTGCCCAGATAGACAGAACTATCTCTTGTCCTAAAGCACATATTATCATGAATAAACTCAGGAAACCATTTGTAAGAAAATTTAAGTGTAGTGCTTGTGTTGGTGATTTTGTGGGAAACAATAATGGTTTTAATTCTTTTATGAAAATCAAACTTTAGCCTATTTTCTTAGATTCATGAATGCCTAACCATTGATTTTTGTAATGTATTGCCATTGGTAATTAAACATAGTCAAATATTTTGATAGCACCTCTAGTTAGCCCAAAGGGATTTCATATGTATAGGCAACTCAAATCTTGATGTTTGTAATGTCTTCTCTTTGAAACATCATGTTAAAATAATAGTACTTCCCGCAGAAACTTATTTATACTGATTGAATAGTATTTTCCTGACAGTAAGAGGCCCTTCATTTATGAAGAAGGAAAAGAACCACTTACTTTGGCATTAAGATCAACTAAAAAGCTTACGCTTTAAACTAGGCAAAGTATGTCTTTGGTATTCTCTACATTCTCTTTCTCCTGGCTTTCCAGCTCCCACATGCTATCCTACTTGAGTACTTCACAGAGGACTCCATGATTAAAGCTTCCTCCAGAAGGAGTCTGTGCTCCAAAAGAACCTCCCACCCTTCTCCTTCCCTGAATCAGAACTTCATTCTTTCAGAGCAGCTATTTTCAGCAAAAAAAAAAAAGGCAAAAGGAAAGCTATCTCAAATTAATTCACATTTTTCTGTCAGTGGCGAATAGATAATTGGCATTTTTCAAAGAAGATGTCCATTAATCAGATGAGTTTCTAGTTGCTGCATTTTCAGGCAGTCTAAACAGGTGAGAATAATTTTAAGTTCAGTTATTCTCAGGGAAGATATTTTGGGCAAGAAATTTATACAGTGTGCCCTAGGATCAGATTATCAGAAAAATGTGTTGTTTTTTCTTTTTTTGCACAGCTTCCTTGCTACTTCTCAATCTACATTTTCTTTTAAAAACTTCCAAGCTTTTTAATCAGAATGAACTTCACAGTGAACTTCTGTGACAGAATGGTGTGGAGGGAGGAAGTTGTTGTTAAGCCCATATTTATCTGGTATTCTTGTTTATCATAGTACATAGTGCATATAACATAAGGAATCTCCCTGGCCTCAGCCCCTATTCCTATTTTATTGATAGAGAAACAAGAGCACAGAAAAATTGAATGCAAACCATCAGTGTAGTCAAAGTCTCCAGATCCTTTGTCTAGATTTCAGAACACAGAGAGCCTGTTTATCAGAATGTGATTTCTTAACAAGAATGCAAGCCATATTAAGTATAGATTGGTCAACTACAATTAAACTCCTTTAGAACAATTTCTTACATTTCAAAACTCATTCAGGTATTTTTGGCATGTATCTCAAAATGAATGATTACTGAAATTAACAGAAAATTTCAGTACTGTGCTATCTGCCTTCCTATGCAAGAATGTAGTGTCATTGATAGTGATTATTTGTAAACATATTATACTCATGGATGCACTGTTTCTTGTTTTAGTCATACAGTATAGTGAAGGCCATATAATTTGAATGAAATGATAATGCTTGATCATCTAATATTCAGTTTGGTTGCTAATACTTGAAAGTATAGTAAGCCCTAAGTTATAGGCATAAGTTTCTTTGAAATATGAAGAAAAACACAAAGGAAATAATTTTTAAATTACAGAAATTCAAGATTGCTTACTTACGTAATAACCCACAAATTATGTACCTTTTAGTTTATTGACCAACAAGAAATCTTAGCTAAATGCTTAGGAATATATATATATATATATATATATATATATATATATATACACACATATGTGTATATATATATATATACACACACACATATATATATATGTGATTTGCTCTTATATATATATATATGATTGCCACATTATTGCTTTATATTCACATTTCTAAACCTTGTACAATGGAGCTTCTTTGGATGACTATTTTGCTTTCATTCTATTTGTCTAATTACATGAACTAATTTACTCTTCAGAAGATATCTATGATATCTATTAAGCATCTAATTTTATGTGGGACAGTTCTAGAGAATGTGTTAAGTCCTTTAGTTTCTTAATAAATTGTCATAATGTGACCAATTAGATTTATTTGCTTTTTTTCTTTCTTATCAACTAATACTGCGCAGGTGTCACATTTGAGTTCTCTTTTCATATTCAGTCTCTCTGAAATTGATAAGACTTATAGCAAAAAAATGTGTTTTTTTTAGTATGATAAAATTCTTAACATCACGAAAGCAGTCGAGCAAGAAACGACCATTTTTAAAGTTATATAAGAAACTTTATCTAAATATCCAAATGGCAGCATGGTTTGGAAATGAGAATTTATTTTACATTAAATTCCACAGTACAAAAAAGGAGAATGTGGTTTTTCTGTGTTTGATTTTTTTTTGAAACAGTAAGTAGTGTTGGAAGTTATGAGTTACATAGGGTTTATGCAAGGAGAGCATAGTTTTCTAAAGCCACATTGAAAAAAAAGAAAAAGCCTTGCCAACACCTCTGAAACACTTTGGGATTCCTAAACTTATTTTCTGGTATAGAAAATATATTTGCTGACTTTTTTTGCACTTCTCAAGACAGAAACAGCATTAAGTAGAAGTTGTGTGTAAATTTGATTCATATGTACTTTAAAACTTAAAAGCTACAATTGAAAGAAAAGGTCCCCAATAGTCAGATAACTGTATTGTCTTTTTCTGACTACATTATGAAGTTTATGCCATCATTTATTATATAATTATTTTTTAAAGCACTGTTCCTTTCAACATTAAAGATTTCATTGTACAACATTTTTCATGTAAGATCAAATCCAGTAGTGCATTCTACAATGTTTTTGTCCCTCATAGTGCTGCTAAAGAAATGGCTGTCATTTTGAATTTATAACATGCCAAAGATGACATCGAAATTTTATTTATTTTTGTTCTTGTTTAAACTCTGTGGGCAACACTTATCAAGAATCATGTTAAATTACTGGCATTCTCTGGGTATTAAATAAAAAGGCTGCAACTTTCTAACATTTTATATTTGACCTTGCTTGATCATTTATGGATATAAAATTATGTCTACTTTTATAAACACATACATCTACTTTTCATATTTCATTGAAAGTTTCTACAGATTGTTCAGGTGCCAGTTGTAAAAGTGTTTCAAAAGACAATTTGTTTATGCATATACCTTGATATTTCCTGAACTGTAATATTTTCTCACTTTAGGATCACTCTTCTAATGTTCTTATAAGGCAAGGAAGTCAGGAAAATGAAGAGCTTAAAATATTTTTAGGACTTATCAGGAGAATGTATTTGCCTTTAAGTTAAGATGATAACTTAACCTTTTTTGCAGTAAAGACAAATGAAAATCTTAATCTTTAAGTAATGGAAAATTTATTTTAAGCTTAGAATCAATTAGAATAATAGAAATTCTACCCCCAAAAAAGCAATCATACATTTATAGGCCATGTTAGGTGATAGCAGCTATGCATACACATATAGAAATTTAATTTCATATGAGGTTCAGAAATACATCTGGAACCCGGCAATTAGAATCTCCATGTACCTCTTCTGTTTTTCTCAACTTCTTATATAGGATAGACCTTAGTGCAACTTTGGAAAGTCTGCAAAAATTGCTTTCCCACCAGCCACCTCATTTTCATCTCTCTTCTGCTTTTTCTTCTTTTATATTCCACATCTCCCCAAACCCTTAGTAAAATATCTGATCATTATTTATACATCATAATACTTAAACAAGTCTTCCACTAAAGTATTACTTCATTCTGCATTTGCCTTTTAAACATTAGCTACCGAGATAAGGAATGCATTTTTGTTGAGTGGGGCCCTCAAATAATTTAGTCCTACCAGGCTAAACCTGATTTAATCTTCTTAGGTTGTCTTAGAGGGTAGGGTGAGGGGTAAAAGAAGCAGACCACAATTTACTTCTGTTATGATTCCACCAGTTCCTTCCTCTTTATTTGGAGAAATAGATTGAAAATGTTGGGGACCTATTTTTGAAATTAGAATTTATGTTCTTTTTACTGCTGGCTTTTTTTTTTTACTTTTTTTTATTTGACTTATAGTCATTTTACAATGTTGCGTCAAATTCCAGCGTAGAGCACAATTT